CCTTAATAGTGCAGTAAGTCTCTCTGTAATAAATGATCTTACTATACTTTACAGATATAATAATATATATATATATATATGTCAAATATTTAGGTTAAGTTCAAATCATGAAATTATAAATCCCAATATTTATTTTGAAAAATTTAATTTTATTTATTATAGTATCAAGTTCACTTTGAATTAAAAGAAAAAGGAAAAGAAAAAGGAGATCCAAGTCCACTAAACAACCGTGATAACTGCAAGATCAGTGTAATCGATATCTTCTCCTGACTCTTTGCTGATAGTAAATACATAAGTTCCAGCTGGCTCGTTCAAATTAAGAGTAATGTAATTCTTGCCAAGGGTGAGATCAACAGGTTCAGGGGCCTTTTGAGGATTGCTCAAAGCATATTCGCCATCTTCATTTTCAACTGCAGAGATCATGTAAGCGTAGTATGTATCATGACATGTTCCAGTGACGTCCCAGAGAACCTCATAAGTTCCATAGCTGTTCCATACAGTGCCATTGACGGGGTATGTGAGAGAGAAGCAGTTATGATTTTCACCGTCGTTAGTAGGCATAGGAGCGGCACAGACCAGACCGAGAACCATGGCAAGCAGAACAAAGGCAAAAGAAGACTTCATAATGAGAAATTGATTGATAACAGATGAAGATTGAATAGAATGATGATTGGAATAAATTGATGGGAAACAATGCCTAGTATTTATATTAAATATTTGTTTAGCTCTTAAAAGATCTTTCTTTTTTTAATTTCCTATTTGGCTTATCCCCATCTTATTTTATTCTAGTAGTTCTTAGAGGTCGCTATTAATTGGAGTTTCAGCCTATTTTCTTGACGTTATTGCTTTTGTTTTGCTTTAATAGAGACAACAGAATGAAGTTAATTTAGAAAAGTATAGATTTAGGTTTATTCGCAAAGAGCAGTAAAATGATATTTTATTTGAAAGCCCCATTTACTTTATATTTATATATGCATATCCTCTTCCTTGGTTTACAACAAAGTGGCTTTTGGCTCAAAAGGGTTATAGGAGAAGATCACTACAAATAAGGAAAATAGAGAAAATGTGGAGTCCTTAGAAGGCCTCAGCCTTTTTATGGGTATGCATAAGGATTGATCATTAAAGCCACTTTGTGGCACCAAATAACTCAATTAACTCGAACCGATTATTCTAGACTCAAATCAATCCAGCACATAAGAAAAATCTATCCTGACATATAAAATCTTAATAGCTACAAAAAAATAGTCATTAATAAGTTGCACAAAATGTCAGGTCACTAATACTGAAATTTTCAAAAGGTATTTGCGTTTTGAATTAGTTTATGTGCGGGCTGCAAGATTTATCTTTTTAGTACAATATATGTTTTTTTTTGTAAGGATGCTGAAACCCAAAGGGTTTTTATTGATATATAAGTTCTAAGATGAAAAGGAGTGCCCAATCCTGCTTTTGAGATTTATTCTCTATTGCTGTTAGGATATTTTAACTTATATATTATATGAGTGAGTGTACTTGGCAAGAAGAGGCAAATAAAGCTCTTAGTAAAAATAGGCGACAAGAAAAGCTGCAGAGACAAAAACAGAGGTACTCGGAAATGGAATATCTTAAAATACAAAGGTTTAGGGATGGTGTCAGGCTGTTAAGAGTGTACAGCTGATGAGAGAAACAACAGGAGTGTTCGGAGGGACAACTGGTGGGAAACAGGAGGGAAAGAATGGAATGAATGTCTTGTATGGAGGACATGTTTCCAAAATGAAATAAGCAAAAATTAGCTCACACAGAGAGCCTGGGAGGAAAAATGAACAGAAAATGGGAACTCGTTTCCTTTTCTTCATAATAAATGGGGCATAACACGTCAGGAAAGATGGTAAGAATCTATGTGACATGCTAGGGGAGAAAGGAGAACACAGGAGATCATTGAGCATGAATGGCAGGAGAAAAGAACAAAAGAAAAAAGGTTGCAGAGGGATGTAATGGTTGTTAACTTGATAGAAGAGCTTGTTGATACTAAGAGGGTTGTGAGGGCACTCTTAGTGCAATATAATGCGATTTTCAGGAATAATTACCGAAATTAGAGGATTTTTAAACAGGTTGAAACACTATCAGAAATGACTTTTGTCAGATAGTTCGAATATAACAAGATTCACAAGGAGTTTTATCTATCAATCAAGATTAGTAGTTTTCCTTTCTTGATAGAAAATATCTTTCTCAATCTCTTTAAAATTAGGTAAGAAAGTAGATAAATTCTGGTGGACGTTTAAAGAAAATTAAAAATATTAAAATAGCAAAAGCAGAGTATCTTTTGAGCACCAGGACCTAAACAAAACAAAAAAACCAGCATACAAATCAACAATATCAATGAATCAGCTGTAATAACCGGTATATACCAACACTCTACTCTGCTCTATGCAATCCAATATGAAAACGTGGCTATTTTATGACATCTACATATTGGTACTTTATACTTTATGTCTGTCAAATTATCTTTAAAGCCTGTAATATAAAAAGACTTGTAGGTAATGATGCTTACTTCTTAAATACACCCAAATCGATTTTTTTGTGCACAGTCTGTGTAAATACAATGAGCACGTTTACTTGTGTATACACCTCGCCACGACTTTTCTGTCTTTCTTTCAGACACGCATTTTTTATACCTTTCCATCTCTCTCATTCCAATGCATCTCCTTTACAATCTCCATGCAGATTAGCCAAATTCAGTTATAAGTTTCACGCCATTGCTATTCTCAAAAATTATTTTGAGTTTTCTTAATGAACTTTATAGATAAAAACGACCCATAAAATCAAACACGGTAATCAACACAATGATAAGAATACCCATATTATATTGTATTGTATTATATTTATCTTCAGATTTATTTAACTAGATTAATTTTTCTTATTAATGAGACTTCCTAATTACAACATTAACCTCTTCAATCAAGTAAAAAAAAAGTTTGAACGCGTATTTTTTTATTAGTCAACAACAGTTTAAAAAATATTTTATTTATTTATTAAAGATATACATAAAGAAGCTATTTTATTTTATATGATTTCACTTAATGTTTTTTTACATGAGTAAAAAAATAAAAAGCATGACACCAAGTTCTTTGTCCCCGCATTACGCGGCTCAATCTCCCTCAGGACGTAAACCTGACTTGGTAGCGAAGGAGGTGTGGGAATGGTGTTAATCCGTGGCGTAAGACAACAACCGGGTTCATCCCAACTGCCCTATCTCATCACTGAGAAGGGCCTGCGAACGTACCAGAGAAACCTACCACAAAGTAGCAGGGTCCAGCGTGTTCGACTACCAAGCAACACCGTCAGTTCCAAAGAGCTTCGAACAAGGATTTCATGAAGAGTCGGCAGTAAACTCCACTTCCTCCCCGTCCTCCACTCAATAAACTTTCATGATGCTAACTCGGCGGCAGCTTTTTTTAAACATTGCTCGTCGCCATTGTTTCAGAAATTATACAATTAAATTCACAATTCAGAACAATGTTGATCTGCGCCTCTAAGAATTAACCAAGAAGCTAGAGACGACGCACTTCCGCTTTTTCCTGCACAGAATGGAAAAAGAATGTCTCCCAATCGACCCATAGGTAGCGCGTCAAACTCAACTACAGGCAATCAGGGGGTACCCGTCTCCAGAGTATAAAAAAAGCTAAAGAGAAGAAAACCGTGTCGGTTGAATGGGCTTTATTTTGATATACCCGCAGTCTGCGACTAAAGTTTGGGACTGCGCTTTTTTTTGCCAGGGGTGTTTTTTGCCTCCCACGTCAGAGCAGTGACATAGCTGTATACTCTTTTTTAGTAGGATTGTGTAACTATTCTATGACAGTAGTAGAAGCTTATAAAATTTAACTAAAACATTTGTGCAAAATATCTTTGCAAAGTAAAGTGAAGCAAAGAAGTAAAGAAGTAAAAAGAGACGAATGGTTTAGTTTTGATCGGTGTAGCAATAACTCTTAAAGTGGAGTACAAGTTTCTATAACGGCGATTCGTAGGTTACTCTAAGCTGGTCTGTGCGCTTTTTATTCGAGCGTACAAAGGGATTTGTTTTTTCTTTTGCTTGTACAAGTAGACACAAAAGAGACCCAAAATTATTTCAAAGCGATACGAAGTAATAAATAAAAAAGCAAAAAGTATAAATGTACATTATCTGAATTATCACAGTGCGGTAGGTGGCGGAATTTTGAGTTCAAGGTTGAGTTATATTGAAATGAGGTTATACCAATAGTTGAATGTACCAAGGTGATTTTTAAAGAGAATAAATAAGTATATTGTTTTATTATATTAATTTTAGAATATACAGCTATGTAAAATTTACTGTTTTCTGGTCTCGACATTTTGGACTAGCTGTCTAATCATGCTAGCACTTTTTATGAGTTATTTTTTTTTTCGAGACTACTCCCACAATCTTGGCTTTTACTTTAAGCTAATTAAATATCCAAAATATATCATGGATGTCGTTAAAAATAGCATATACTAGCTTCATAATTTACATAAATATTGACCAAGCTTCATATCATATATTTTCATTTTATATAAAGTAGAGCCGGAAATAATATTTGAAGTGTTCGGGATTGATTTTGGGGTTAGTATCTCAATATATGAAAAAGTGGATACTGTGAGAGTGCTATTTATTAAAAAGACAAAATAATATTGTTTATATCCGTTATTATTAAAATCCCTATAATTCAAATCCCTGTTGTGTAATGGTTGGTTTACACTGTATAAGTGTGTAGTGTACATGTACCTGATATGTAACAGTTCCGGAAATTGTTAACTTGCCAGGTTCATTAGCAAGAAGAAACCAGTGTTTGGTCGTGGAGGCTGCTCTCCACTCAATTGTGCTGTGTATACCACAATATTCATGCCATTAATTTGTATTCAAGATTTTATTCTAAGACTATTTGTATTTAGATATTTTTTTTTAAAGATGTCAGATGTAGTTTTGATTTGATATACATATATGTGCAAACTACTAAAACAACTGTTTCTGTTTCCCGTGCTATTAAATTGCCATGTCTTTGTTTGTTTGCTTTTATATGACAATTAAATATTAACTACTATCTCGTGATCTTGGTTTTGATAATGTATATTGTGAGACTAATATAAGTAATATATATACATATATCTATAATATTTTAATTGTAGCTTATAAGAACATGGCATACGGCACTATAATAAAGCATCTCCTTATACTTCAAAAGGATAGTATATATGTATTGTCAAGGTTCTTTAAACTTGATCTTAGGTATAGGGTGGAGCAACACAATAGTTCTTTTTATAAATTCATTTTTATTTGATTTATCAAGCTTGCTTTAGACTAGAAAATAAAGATCTAAGAATATAAATCTAAATCTAAATCTATCAAACAATATCAACAAGTGCCACATCGGTGTAGTCCATATCATCTCCTGTATCTTTGATGATACCAAATACATATTTTCCAGCTGGCTCGCTCGAATCGAGAGTAATAGAAGCCATTCCAGCATTAAGATCAATTGAATCAGATGCCTGATAAGGAGTTCCAAAGGTATAGTCGCCGTTGGACTCTTCAGTTGCAGGGATTATGAAAGCATAGTATGTACCAGAGCATGTTCCAGTAAGATCCCAGAGAGCTT